CTTTAGCAACAGGGATCAGGTCTGGAGGCAGAGACTGAGAAAGGTAAAATGTTTATCGGTGTGCTTCCCCCAAGGTGCCCTTGAAAATGTAATCCTCCTCTCCATAAACACATCCCATTATAATGATGGATATTTTGCTAGTGGTTAAATAAATACATAAATGGGTCCTTGTTTATCCCTACCGTAGAGCTGAGACATAAGGAGGTCAAATGATTTACAGCTGTGAAGTTACATGCCTTTGTATTAGGAGAAGTTGACATTTTGTCTTTGTGGCACAGATTCAATGGAAATTCAGCCTGTGGGCTAGGCACATCACAATTACATGGTACACACTCCTGCTTGTGTGGGCCAAATATCTAAAACCCAATGCAAAAATAAAAATAAACAACATTTTAGATTGGTTTAAATTATAATACGGTTCTCTGTTGTTAGATTTTTGTTCAGATGAGGCACAGCTATTGCACAGCATTTGTGGTGAAGTTGTGGTGCTGTGGTGGTTTGTAAAATTCATTTATTCGTCAGCAGCATCATTTTTCTTTTCATTTCTATACCAACTCTACAATTCTATGATTCTATGAAATTTAAAGTATACATTCAAAGCAGCATAATTAACAGGAAACTAAAATATTATCTTAAAGATTTCAAAATAAAACATTGCCAAAGTAATTCAAATATAAAATGTGCATAACTGGCAAAAGAATGAAATAGTATCATAAGCATGAAACATATCAGCTGCTGTTGCTGCCAGTCCTGCCGATGGTGGTTCACGTACCCTCCAACATTTCTCCGATGAAAATAGGGACATGCCATTCCATAATGGTAATTTTACTATTTATACCCCAAACATCTTACTAGGTTGATCCAGCCACTCTGGGCAGCTTCCAACATATATGAAAACATAATAAAACATTAAACATTTTAAAAAACTTCCCTATGCAGGATTGCCTTCAGATGGCTCGGGGGTCATATAACTCCATACCCTCCAACATTTCTCCAGTGAAAATAGGGACATCCTAAGGAAAAGTGGGACATTCCGAGATCAAATTAGAAACAAGGATGGCTTCTCTAAATCAGGGATGTTCCTGGAAAATAGGCACACTTGGAGGGTCTGGGTCAGGGGTCAGCAAACTTTTTCAGCAGGGGGCCGGTCCACTGTCCCTCAGACCTTGTGGGGGGCCGGACTATATTTTTTTTGGGGGGGAGGGGAATGAACAAATTCCTATGCTCCACAAATAACCCAGAGATGCATTTGAAATAAAAGTACACATTCCACTCATGTGAAAACACTCTGATCCATCTGCGGGCTGGATATAGAAGGCGATTCGGCCGGATTCGGCCCCGGGCCTTAGTTTGCATGACTTGGGTCTGGACCCAAGATGGTCTCTGGCTTCTTCAGCAGCCTCAGCTTTTGTAGTTGGAGTCAATCAAAACCCTGCCCTCCCAGGCCTGGTGGGAAAAGGCCTGCAATAAGAGGGAACAGGTCCTCTGGGACTCACAGCCAATATGGTCAGGGAGCTATAGAGTCCACAGCAAAAGTCAATGGACTGGGTCAAATTAGGTCTTCTTCCACATGCTCCCTCTTGGGCTTGCTGATCGGAAAGTCAGCGATTCGAATCCCTTCAAAGGGGTGAGCTCCCGTTGCCCTGTCCCAGCTCCTGCCAGCCTAGCAGTTCAAAAGTATGCCACTGCAAGTAGATAGGTACCACTGCGGCGGGAAGGTAAACAGCGTTTCTGTGCACTTCGGCACTCAGCACCGTCCTCCGTGCGCCAGTAGCAGTTTAGTCATGCTGGCCACATGACACATAAAGCTGTCTGTGGACAAACACCGGCTTCCTTGGCCTGAAAGCGAGATGAGCACCATAGTCCCATAGTCACCTTTGACTGGACTTAACCGTCCAGGGGTCCTTTATGTTTACCACATGCAGGTGGTGCATTCTGTTAATGGAAGGCTTGTTTTATATTTTGCACTAGAATACTGTTTGAGAAAAGTGAAACTCAGGGCCTAATTACACATTATGCTAATAGCATGATTAGCAATCATATCGAGGGTGTGTGTGTGTGTGTGTGTGTGTATACATACACACACACACACCAGGTGCAGGTGTGTATGTGGCGAATTGTCATTGGTGCTTCAGTGTGACAGGAGGGGAGGTTTAAACCTTCTCTTCCCAGCTGCAGTCTCAATAAATTAGCATTTGGCACCAATGGGAGGTTTTGCCTAATGCTACTTGCCATGCGGGGGGGGGGGGGACAACTTTTCCAAGATCGCTCCTCCCTGTGTGCTGTGGTGCCAGTGTCAAGCATGCTCCCCCCCCCTGCTAGTAATTAATTTTTAAAATCCTGTGATGAGATTTACTAATCATGTTGTTAACATAACGAGTAGTCAGGTCATAAATCCAAATATATTATTCTACTTGCACAAGAGCAACTTGCAACTGTTGTTTGTGCAATTGGATGCGTGAGATCAGCTATGGAATCTACCTTGAATAATGTTGTGAGTGGATTCTTGCTCAAGATTTTATGGAGCTGCTGTTTCTCTTTTCCTCGTGCCTCTTTGGATCCAACCCATTGTTTGTGCTGCTGTAGCTAAACTGGATCAATAAGATTAGGCTGTAAATTATATGTGCAATATTGTTCGAAAGGGAAGTTGATATTCCAGAGCCAAAGATAAAAAGTTCAGAAATCCCAGTATATGCAGTTATTTTGTTGCTGCTCCTAGCATGATAGCATTCTGTTACTGGACTCGTAATACAGTTCATTTGTTTACATGTATAACAAACGCTACTGGCAAAGTAAAGAAAGATTGTACAGGTGGTGCTCTCTTCTTTGCGTAGCTTACATCTGCATAAGTTGGCCCACAAGACTACTACAAAGCATTTTTTTAAAAAAAACACCGGCCAAGTTATGTGACTAAAGCTACTGATCTCCACCTGCTCCTTTATGGACTGCCAGCTCAGTCAGTGTGTTTAATTACATGGTTGTCTCATTTTGTTCCTAAAATGTACAGTACAACAGTAACCAGGGAACCTATTCCCCAAATATACTCTACCAAATACTCAAACACTGGACTGGGTGCTTCCAAAAGAGATTGAATATTTTCGCCAAGTGTAACAAATGAAAAACAGTTTCCCAGGGAAGATGTCCTATGTCAAAATAAACAGAGGAGGTAGGACAGATTTTCATTGCCCTACATGTTTTAAAGTCGTAAAGAGAGAGCTTCTAAGGCCATATTCCTCTAAGACAGCGGTTCTCAAAGGGTGTAGTGCACCACATTGGTGTGGCAAGAGAGGATGGCACGTGTGGAGGAGATTCAAGGACGATCAAATAAACATTTTAACATTTCAGTGTCGTATAGTAGCTTTCTTTCTTTTTTAATTTACAGAATTTTGTTGTTGTTGTTTAGTCGTTTAGTCGTGTCCGACTCTTCGTGACCCCATGGACCAGAGCACGCCAGGCACCTCTGTCCTCCACTACCTCCCGCAGTTTGGTCAAACTCATGCTGGTAACCTCGAAAACACTATCCAACCATCTCGTCCTCTGTCGCCCCCTTCTCCTTGTGCCCTCCATCTTTCCCAGCATCAGTGTCTTCTCCAGGGAGTCTTCTCTTCTCATGAGGTGGCCAAAGTATTGGAGCCTCAGCTTCACAATCTGTCCTTCCAGTGAGCACTCAGGGCTGATTTCCTTAAGAATGGATGCGTTTGATCTTCTTGCAGTCCATGGGACTCTCAAGAGTCTTCTCCAGCACCATAATTCAAAAGCATCAATTCTTTGCCCATCAGCCTTCTTTATGGTCCAGCTCTCACTTCCATACATCACTACTGGGAAAACCATGGCTTTAACTATACGAACCTTTGTTGGCAAGGTGACGTCTCTACTTCTCAAAATGCTGTCTAGGCCTGTCATTGCCCTTCTCCCAAGAAGCAGGCGTCTTTTAATTTCATGGCTGCTGTCACCATCTGCAGTGATCATGGAGCCCAAGAAAGTAAAATCTCTCACTGCCTCCATTTCTTCCCCTTCTATTTGCCAGGAGGTGATGGGACCAGTGGCCATGATCTTCGGTTTTTTGATGTTGAGCTTCAGACCATATTTTGCGCTCTCCTCTTTCACCCTCATTAAAAGGTTCTTTAATTCCTCCTCACTTTCTGCCATCAAGGTTGTGTCATCTGCATATCTGAGGTTGTTGATATTTCTTCCGGCAATCTTAATTCCAGCTTGGAATTTACAGAATACAGATTATTTTTTTCCAAAATGAGCAACAGCATTAAGATTGATAATGAGGACCATCCTAGTTGTGTTTTCCAGTGGATTTCTTATGAATAAAAAAAAAATTCAGCGTGACACAAGCAAACCTTTATTCTGAAAGTATGGCCAAGAGGAAAAAAAGTTTTGAGAACCACTGCTTTAGGTCGTCTTTTAGCTGAGACAAGGCTGATCCCAGGCTGCCTGAGACAAATGACAAGATGGCACTCCTTAATTTCGTGTACAGTACACCTGACCAGACCAGCAGCTTCAACGCTGGCAATGGGACACAAAACACACCTGAGGGCTTCAGGCAAAGAACAGGCATGGCACATATGATGCGCTCTCTGTCTCTCTCTCTCTCTTCTCTCCCACCCACCCCATATCCCGCCCCAGTTTGGGGGCGATAGGGCTGAGGTTTCTGTTTCTCCTCCTTCCCTCAGGCAGGCGGGGAAAAGGGCGGGAAACCAACTCGCCCCCCCCGCCCGCCCGCGGCTTCGTGAGGAGAAGTTTGCCTCTTCCGCCAAAGCAGTGGCGTCGGCGTCAGGGAGGGGGAGGGGACGTGGAAGGTACCGGGGAGGAGGGGGAGGAGGAAGAGCAACGTTGGCGCCACGTGACGCGGCGCAGCCAATGGAGGAGGGGCCCCGCCCCGCCGTGGAGCGAGAGTTGCCGACTGAGGCCGCCGCCTCCTCCCTCCCTCTCCTTTGCCGCCGCCGCCGCTCCTGGGAGTCCGAGAAGGCGGGGTGGTTGGCTGGTTGGGGGGGGAGGGAAGAGGGGAGAAGCTTCCGCCGGGAGGGAGGGGAGGCGAGGCAGGCCGGCTGGCCGGCCGGTGAAGTAGCAGCGGCAGCCCCGGGGAAGAAGAGGAGGAAGGGGGAGCCACCGTCCCCGCCGTGGGAGGCTGAGACTCTCCGGCCTGGCGGGCCCCCAGCCGCCCACCCAGCCGGCCATGCCGAATAAAAACAAGAAGGAGAAAGTGAGCCAGGTCAGGCCTGAGGAGGAGGCGCGGGCTGGAGGAGGTCCTGGGAGAGGAGCAGGCCCCGGGGAGGGTGTCGCTGGCGGGGTGCAGGCAGGCCTGCGGGGGAAGCTGGAGTTTGGGAGGTGGAGGAGGTGGGAAAGGGGGTCCGGGGGGGGTCGCTAGTACTGGCTGGGCTTCGGGGAGGGTGGTCTGAAAAGACACACAGGGCTTGAAAGATGTACCTCCTGAGAGCAGCTGCTGCTGCTTCTTCCCTGAAGATTTGTTAAAACACACGCGTCCCTGTGTACACACGTATACATAAGACACGCGCCTTCCATTATTATCCGCGCACGCGCTCCCCGCTTCATTATTTTACGCGCAGGCTCCCACACGGATCTCGAAAAGAGTAACAAAAGGGCAAGAGGCACGAGTTTGTACTTTGGGGGGATAAAGCGACAAAGAGTCTTGTGGCTTTTTTTAAAAAGGACTAACAGGTTTACTGTGGCGCGGGAGTTAAGTCTTTTAGTCGTCGTTGTTGCAGCAGGCTTAGGGCGGCTCAGCACCCCTTGCTTTGAGGTTGGTTTCTGGAGGTGTCGGGTATTCCTTGCTAAAAAGTGGGTGGTTTCTTTTGGAGGGGAGGGGAGTCTATCATGCCAAAGGCTGGCATGGCTAAGGCCAGTAGGAAATACACAACAGAGTTGGTATGGTGGAATCGGTGTTGTTTGTTTATTTATATTTTAATTGGGGCATGTCCCAACAAACTTCCAGATATCTTGTCAGCTTTCTGGATTTGGCTCTGTCATGTCTTTGCAAAAAGAGGCAATTAAAACAAATGTTAAGGTTTAACATGTCATCCTCCTGCTTGGTTAGGGAAACATATTGGCATCTTGACACAGACATGATTGCCTTGAAGTGAGTGATGTTTAGCCATAAATCTTAAGTAATGCTGCAATCCTATCCACAGGTACTTTAGGGGTAAGTGCTGCTGCTTGATGAGATGTATTTTGAATAAGCATACATAGGATCAGGCTGTGTGATTGCCAGATGGAATGGTCCTCCCTATGTGTGTGGTTCTGGAGGTGGGGAAACTATTGCACAAGCAACAAATCCTTGCACAGGGCTTCCATTGACTGGGCACATTAAGTAAAACCTGTCCTTTGTCTCCTAATTGACAGGGCAACTGAGGCAGAAACCTGGCCTCTTTCAGACATTCCAAGAAGTCTTGTTTTAGTGCTAAAACTGTGATAAAAGGCTCCTCTTCCACTTAACAGGACCCTTTAGTGTTGAATTCCATGCAACATCTGCACATCTGTTCAGAATTTGTGTGCTTATTGCACTCTGTCTGCTATCTTTTGTATCTCACTGTTACCCCAACAGACAAAAAAGGCTGTAGCACAGGCCAAATAAATCCCAATAAATTTAGGGGAAGAACAAATCCAGGTGCTCTGTGATGGCTGTTAACCTGGGTTCTAATTGTCAGGTGTGTTCTGAAGTGCTGGGGAGGGGAAAGTCTCAGGTCTGGTTTACACTCTAGTCCTGCTGTTATAAACATACAAAGTTATGGGAGTGAGCCTTGAACTTGCATGTCTTCTCTGTTGTACATAGTTTTCAGTTTGAACACATGGGGTCAAAGTTTAAAGTAGACCTCAGGATCATAGTACTGAAGGTGATGTCATGGGTCACCTGTTGCATCTTTGCAACCGTAGGATATATATTCCCTGAGCTTCTTCTGTACTAGCTGTGGCCATCCAGCCTCCTTATAATTCTCCAGGGTTTGAAATTGCTCAGACCCCAGTGTCTCTGTCCAGATTTCTAAGCTGTTCTTAAAAATTAGAAAGCAGTGGTTGATTGCCATAATACTTTCTGCAGCTTTATTGCCCATCCCTGTTCCATCTCCTTTCTGACAGCTTTCCTTGAAATTTCAAAACTATTGCATGTTTCCTTTTACTTGCGTTGGGGTAGTTGAGCTTGATTTGAAAACTATGCTGCTTGCTAAGAGAGAGTAAATGGAAACCTAACATCTTCTCTTTTATAGTAAGCATGTGTTGCTTTATTTTATTTCATGGATTTTGTAACCGAAATTGTACTGTTTCTTTTTCTAAGTAGGGGAAACTTACATGTCTCTGTAAATTTCAGGAACCTCCGAAAGCAGGGAAAAGTGGGAAAAGTAGCAAAGATGTGCAAGATAATCTGGACATGGAGGTAAATGTTACAAATTTAAACTTTTTGCTTTCTTTCAGAAATGTTTACACTGATGTTTTATAAATTCCTTTGCTAATATTTGGCAGTGCTTTTCAGTCCCTCTTGTGATCACTAGCAACTTCTCAGTTAAAATCTAAAAAGTGAAGTGCCTTAGTGACCTTGTTTTGTGAGAAGTAGTAATGTGAAGTTCTCAAAGTATGATTAAAAATTGTTTCTCGGTGTTTTTCTTTGTAGTTAAGAAATTCAGTTCTGACCTGTATGCCACCTTTAAGAGTAAAACTCTCTCAATGGGGCTTGTTCTCTTTATCATGAACTTCTGGGTAACTAGGCAAACTGCTGTTTGTTAGCTCTCCCTGCCCCCCAATCTGAAATACGGGAATAAGAGAGCTGGTTTACCTTACAGGAATGTTGTAAGAAATCTTGAGATAATACACTTCAGGTGCTTTGAACATTTAGGAAAATTGTGCTACAATGTTTGGGGATCTATATTTTTGCCTTTTAAAAGTATGGTGGTATACCAGTTTTTAATAGAGTAGACCCATTGAAATTAATTGGCATGACTAACTTAGGTCCATTAATTCCAGTGGGTCTACCCTGAGTGGACGTTAGTTGGATGCAGTGCATAAAGGTAAAGGTACCCCTGCCCGTACGGGTCAGCCGTGTCCGACTCTAGGGTTGTGCGCCCATCTCACTTAAGAGGCCGGGGGCCAGCGCTGTCTGGAGACACTTCCGGGTCACGTGGCCAGCGTGACGAAGCTGCTCTGGCGAGCCAGCACCAGCTCAGCACATGGAAACACCGTTTACCTTCCCGCTAGAAAGCGGTACCTATTTATCTACTTGCACTTTGGGGGTGCTTTCGAACTGCTAGGTGGGCAGGAGCTGGGACCCAAGACGGGAGCTCACCCCGCCGCGGGGATTCGAACCGCCGACCATGCGATCGGCAAGTTCTAGGCACTGAGGTTTTACCCACAGCGCCACCCGCGTCCCGGATGCAATACATAGACTCTTGGAAATGAATGTCTCATGTGATTCATGACAGACTGCCAAATGTACTGTACCTTCTACAGATTTGTTCTTAAGGCTGCAATCATGTACGCATTTGTCTATACAAAAGTTCCATTGGGTCTTATTTTTCATGAAAGTACAGCTTTCTCATTTTATGTTTTAAAATGATTCGGTTTGGCATTTCTGTGTGCTGACAAATGCTGATTTCAGCACTTGGAATGTGTTACTATTGTGGCATTTTTAGGATGGGCATGTCATGGATGCTTTAGTTGAGATTCCTGCATTGCTGGGGGTTGGACTAGATGATCCTTGGGGCCCCTTCCAACTCTACAATTCTTTGATTCTATAAAAAGGCATAGGGAAGTAATATGTCTGTTACTGTTAACATATTCTTTAATGCTTTTGTCAAATCTTTAGCTGAACTACTTAAGCAATGTTTTTAAGCATGATAGAAATAGAAATACTTTATTGTCACTGTGCCACTTGTTTACAGTGAAATTAAACGAGCCCCCCCCCAATCTCTCTGTCCTTTTAAAAGTTTCCCAAGTGTGTCAAAAGTGTTTACCCTGTTACTGCAGCCGGATAGTACTCAAAGGGTTTTGATGTATGCACTTAGTATGCACTTAGCCTCATTGTATTTCCTGTATGCTGGTGGTGCAGCATGGGTGGGGCCCTGTTGCACCTAATTTTCAACATGACTTGCTAGTGCTGCATGCAAGCAGACTTGCTGTTTCCCAGACGAGAATCAAATCAGTGGGACAGGATAGATACTGTGCCTGTGACTTGGGGCTGGAATACTTGGCTGTTTCTGCCCACTTCCTCCGATGCGTGGGGAGACTAGCTTCTGCTGTGCATGTTGGAGGAAGAGAGTGATTTCTGTGTCAGCTAGACATGTGTTCATATGATCCCTTGTAGCTCCCAGAGGAAAATATGAGAGGAAAATGTGCTTCCCTCTTTATTTCACCAAAAATTATATGCCAGTTGATAATAAGGAAACCTCTTTGTACAAATATAAAATAAAACATTAAAAACATTTGAAAGATTATTAAAACCATAATGGAAAAAGAGATAAAACACCTGCCATTTCCAGAGATTGAAGCGGTGGAGTGATTCTGCAAGTAAACTGGTGCTAAGCAGCTAATGCTTTATATACTAACACCTTGCGTTTGGCCCAGTAGCAAATGGGCAACCAGTGCAGATCTCTTTAAGCAGAGGTGTTTCTCATCCAGTCAGCTTCTCATTCCTGTCAGCAGCTAGGCTGAAGCACTCTGCGCAGTTTCTGGCTCAGGCACAAGGGAAGCCCCACATAGAGTGCATTGCAGTAATCCAGTCTTGAGAAGTTACCAATGCCTAAATTACTGCGGCCAAGCTCTTCTGGTCCAGAAATGAGCGTAGCTGTCGCATCAGTGACAGCCGGTATAAGATTTACGAAGAGAAGGAGCTGTAGAGACAAACTATGCTGCTGGGGAAAGGAGGATGGAGAGATAATGGCGAATTGACAGTGATGTGGCTGAACATATGGGCCACATTTGCACAATCAGCCAGGATACGCATGAGTGGTGTGCACCCACACATCCCCGCTTTGCTGCTGCTTTAGTCCTCACTTTGTGTGGGTGGTGAAGCAAACCAGGAAATGAAGTTAGCCATGGTTTAAACTTGACTTCTGAATCCTGTCTCATTTTTTATTTATTTTATTTTTACCATTCACACAAAAGGAGAATCAATGTGGTAGAAAAGGAGCTGTCTGCATGTGCATACAGCTTGTACATATCCTGACTTAACAAGCCAGGATTTGATCATGCAAACAAAGCCATGGGGTGGCTAGCACCCACAGCAGATAATCTTCCGTTGCTAAAACCACAAGGACTGTAACATGCAAGTGTTTCTGCACTTAAATTGTTACTGGCAGAATAATTGTGCATATTGGAATGTAAGACGATAGTGCAGGTACAATTAAATATTCCATTTTTTAAAAAATTGTCTGAATACTTATTAATCTGTTTTGTGTACATGTACGTAAAAAGAAATTAATTATGAACATACTGGGAACCATTTTAGTCTCCAGTATGAAATTGTGTCTTGTTATATGAAAATATATAGTGAGTGCATATTCTGAAGCGCCATTAATTGCTAAATGTGTGATGCAGAAAAAGCGCAAAAATTCCTTGCTAAATGAATGTTCTGTGTGTTATACAATGCAGAGCTCTACCAGACTCTCCTGGCGCCATTTCTGATGGCTAGGGAACAAAGGGATACACAGAAACCATACACTTGGATGCTTCCCAGAAAATAGAATCAGCACTACAATCACATATGCTTACACGACGAAGCACAAGTAAATGGGGCAAAGGCTCAGTATGGAAGTTGGCTTCACTTAGCCTTCTTAACAGCAGCTATCCATTAGCTAGGTGGTAAATCTTATATCCGTTCAACTGGTTGTAATGTCTGCGGCGTGCAAAAATCAAAGCTTATTTCAAAAGCAGAAATTGGGTGGTTTGATGCTTTCCCATGGCCCAATATTCCCTGGCTTAACCTCTCCACCTTTCCCTTCCCCTGTATCTGTCTTGAGTACTTTGGGCTAATTTTACGTATAATCTTAAGCCTCTCTTTCTGGAAATGTACTAGCATATGTTGTTTTGTTTCAAGTGCTTGTGAAAAATGCCAGATTGTGAAGACTAGAGAATGTCCTCTATTCAAAGAACAAGGAGAACACAAGTGGCTGCATCCCACAAATATTTTATTTATAGACACCTATATAAATCTTACAATTTTATTTGAATTCATGGTGGTGCTTACTTTTATGTTATCTTCTCTGTAGATCTGAAAGCACTAGTAAAATGGGTAACATATTTCAAACATCTCATGCAACTTCTCTGAAGTCCAATTAAAAATGAATTCATGGCCAGGGTTGCAGCTGAACTTTTATATTCTGTTAGGCTGGAACTACATAAAGCGGGAGCTGCTTGGCTGATTCCAAAAGTAGAATATATAAAAAAAGTGTGGTGTCGTTACACTGTTGAGTTTTTCTGACACCACAAGCAGCAACTAAGTAGAGCAGGGTGGGAAACGCAGCAGTCTACTGTTGTTTTGTGGTACTGGACTTTACAATCTAGGAGGAGAGGAGACGATGGAAGGCCACAGTTTGTTGGTGCAGCAGCTATATCTATTTCTGACCTCATCTTTTTTTAAGTACTGATGGTCACAATTGCATCATATCAGATGTAATTAGTTTAGAGTTGTCATTAAGTAGCCTTCTGTGCGCAGACCCTGCTCACAAGTGCCCAAAGAGCCTTTGTGGTGTGACTAATACGGTACACCTATTTACAATTCATTGAATATCCTTATTAAAAAGACACCAAGTTCCATGGATTCCCCACCTTCCTTGCCTGAGGGCAAAATATTAACTTGCATATTCCTTTGGGTCTACAGTACTGACAATATTAATTATGCGGGGGGGGGTGACAGCAGACCACTGTAGAAGGTAAAGTACACTAGTCATGAGAAAGAAAGTGTTTATTGGAAGAAAATGCAAACATAGTTCAGAGAGTGCATCCATAGTCCACTCTCTCCTGAGGTTAAAGCAACTTTTTCTTCTTTAGGAAATACAGAAGTTTCATACTGTTCCCTTTGGGGTGGGCAGGAGCAGCAATGGGGGAAGAGTCTGCTGATGCAACTCTACTTGCTGTTAAGCCCCAACCCGTAAGCTTTTATTCAAAGAAAAATGCTAGTAGGCATTGATTTTAAGTTATACACAGGGTACTTTGATGAGCGGTTTTCCCTCTTCAAAATGAAGGTGACAGCAAAGACTGTTAAAAATAGATGCAAGCTTGTTGTAAACAAAGTACTGCTTTTTGGGAATCTGAAATGCTATGTGTACTTTACCTAATACGATAATGCAGGTACAAAGTAAGTTCTCAATTCTAATTTAAAGGGTCAGGAAAGTCAGCGAACTAACCTCTTAACAGCTGCTCTTCAAGCGTAGTTCTTTCTTCAAAGTCCATGGATTGCAGACTTGCTGAACCTCATGGGTGTTAAAGAGACATATTTAGCCACTTTGCCTCCCTATCCTTTTGGAATGTGTATAGCAGCATACAATATTAAACAAAGTCGTTAATCATAGAATTGTAGAGTTGGAAGGGACCCCGAGGGTCATTTAGTCCAATGCCCTGCAATGCAGGAATCTCAACTAGATCATACATGACAGATGGCCTCCTACCTCTGCTTAAAAACTTCCAAGGAATGAGAGCCACCACCTCTCATGGGAGTCTGTTCTACTGTCAAACAGCTCTTAACGGCCGGAAAGTTCTTCCTAATGTTTAATTGGAATCTTTTTTCTTGTAACTTGAATCCATTGGTTTGGGTCCTATCCTCGAGAGCAGGAGAAACTCCATGTGAGAGGCATTTAGATATTTGAAGATGACTATCATTTCTCCTCTCAGTTTCCTATTTTCCGGGCTAAACATACCCAATTCCCTCACCCATTCCTCATAAGGCTTGGTTTCCAGACCCTTGATCACCTTGGTTGCCCTCCTCTGCACATGTTCCAGCTTGTCAATAGCCTCCTTAAATTGAGGTGCCCTGAACTGGACACACTACTCCAGATGTGTTCTGACCAAGGCAGAATAGCATGGTACTATTACAGTGGTGCCTCGCAAGACGAAATTAATTCGTTCCGCGAGTTTTTCGTCTAGCGAATTTTTCGTCTTGCGAAGCACAGTTTCCCATAGGAATGCATTGAAAATCAATTAATGCATTCCTATGGTCAAAAAAAGTCCAAACGAAGCCAAATTTGGTACAACAAGAGTTTATTAAGTGCTCTTTAAAGTCACACATACTGTAAAGAGCATTTCAAAATTCAAACCCAGAATTTTTTTTAAAAAACAGCAGAGTGGCCCAATGGTCACAGAAAATCATAAAAATGCAGAAAAAAACACACACAAGCTTCCGGATTCTTGCAAACCCCTCCCCAACTGTACACCCAGCCACCCACCACACAAAAATTCAAACCCAGATTTTTTTTCGTCTTGCAAAGCAAGCCCATAGGGAAATTCGTCTTGCGAAGCAGCTCGAAAAATGGAAAACCCTTTCGTCTAGCGAGCTTTTCGTCTTGCGAGGCATTCGTCTTGCGGGGCACCACTGTACTTCTCTTGACCCGGACACTATACTTCTGTTGATGCAGCCTAGAATAGTGTTAGCTTTTTTTGCTGCTGCATCACACTCATGTTAAGCTTGTGGTCCACCAAGACCCCTAGATCCTTTTCACATGTACTGCTGGCAATCCAGGTGTCCAATCAGATGTGCACTGTGGTTTATTTTTATGTTTTTGTGAAATAGACACACCAAGGGTGAGGCCAAAAATAGAGGCTTCATAAAGCTTGCCTAAAGTAAAGAACATTGGTATTTTCTCAAGGATGCTTCCTTTCTGGATCATGGATTGGGTGTAGCAAATCTTGCCGCACTTGTTACCTTTTTGAGACTGTCTCTTGGCATTATGGACTTGTCCCCTTTAAGGTTTTCTAAAATAGGTTTAAATATGTGGTGATAGCCAAAAAAGAAAACCTCTTCGGAGTTAGTGCTAATGGTATTAGAAGTGAAAACTATTGTTGACTGCTTTATATTGTTTGACTGCTTCTTAAAGTCTTAATTATTCTTTATATACAGGTTGCAAGCAAAAAATCCAGCAGCACCGTTGTACCTGCAACACAGATAGCTAAAATCAAAACACCTCCTGTACAACCTGTAGTGAAGAAAGAAAAACGGCAGAGTTCCTCAAAATTTAATCTTGCCAATAACAGAGAACTCCAGAAGCTGCTAGCTTTAAAAGGTATTTACTATCTTTCTTTCAGTAATCCTTGTCGTAGAAGCAAGTTGGTAATGTAAGAGTGAGCAAATTTCTGCAACTGCAGACTTCAATTTGGAGGGCTCATTTAGGCATGCACAGCAGAGGTTCTGACCTTTCCCCCTCAAAGATTGAGTCTTCAGGGCACTTCTCGAACTCGCCTGGTTTCCAAAGTGACTTGTCAAGCTGTGCATAAACTGCTGTTGAGAGAAGGTGGGGAGTAAAAGCTAGTGACCTTGTTGCGCATCCAGCTCACCAGATGGCCTATAGGATTGTAGCCGTGGGGCGCGAGCAGCAGATTACATTCCAAAATGCATGCGATAACATTGTGCATTGTGGTGACGTTGGGGCAAAAAATAGCTAAGAACTTCTTGGGCTCTTACTCAGCATGCATCTATTGTAGAGCAAAGACTACACGAGCTTTGGTTTATTGTGGGGCCCTGGGCCATTTCAGAAAGCAAAGCAAATGGGCTTCTACTGCAGATGCTGGCAGTGAACTGGAGAACAGATGAAATTCACACTGTTGGCTATGAGTGCATGCCATTCCATAGGTGATGGCGGCAAATTTCCAGCTTTTAAAGAGCCTTGGCATTCATATTTCCCAGTTCATGAGCAGCGTCCAATATGGCTTTTAGCGCTTCAACCTCTTACATACCACTTTGGGCCCACACTATTTACGAAGCTTACAATTATTCTGCCTGGGCATATTGGCACAATAAAAGGTTATCAAATTCACACTAGTTGAACTGCCAAGGTTTTCCCCTATTGGACTTGTTGACGCTCGAGGTCCCTTCCAACTCTGCAATTCTATGATTCTGTGATTGTGGTTTTGTGAGATGCTGTATTATAAAAACTTGCCCTGCCAACACAGAACTGCAGTTTTCAGTTTTCCTTGGGAAGAGGGATTAATCCTTAAGTGAGTTTTGGAGATGATGCAGATTCAGTTGTGGGTATTTCTAAAGTGTGGGTCACATACAAAGGGAGCAGGTTTACGTATTCTTTCTTTGGCATGAATCCATTACCTGCCTTGGTAGCAATTGCTGACCTGGATTTGAAACCACAGTTTGAAGCTGACTTTAAATCCTAATTGAGAGAGAGCCCTAGTCATTAGTGAGGGTGGTAAATGCAAATACTGGTGTAACATTAACTACAGTTAGGTTTAGTTAGGCTGTTCCTCCAAGAGGAGAACATGTGATCCTGGCTGTAAAAAGCTTTGCTCCCATTTAGAAACCCTGGCCTTTAAATATGGCACTTCATTTGATTTCGTGTTTTTAATATTCTGTTGGGAGCCATCCAGAGTGGCTGGGGAAACCCAGCCAGATGGATGGGGCATAAATATAATTATTATTATTGTTGTTATTATTATTATTAGACGACTTGAATTCAAGTATTGGCAAATGTCTGTGTACTGAATATCAAAAAGTATCTCACAGCATATAAATAACTAAAGCAAAGTGGCTGGATGTATCTATGCAGTTCTATGCAATTGTGTGCCTTCTCTTTCATCTATGGTAAATTACATTTGAAACATGCAAGTAGTATTTGAAGTGCTAGAAAGTTTAAATGTTAGGTGCATCCAATATGATGACCAGTCAGTAACCTCACATTCCAATAATATTCCTCCTCCCTATACACTCTATTGCTATTTGCTTACTGCAACGTCCTCTGGCTGTTAATGTGATATTCCTTATAATTTAAAAAATAGGACGTTCTGCAAAACATCAAGTATCGTATATAACTTTATTCTAAATGTGTTAAAATTGGAAACTAGTTGTGTAATCTTACGTTTGTGTCATTTTGCTAATAGAATTTGGATCTCTTTATACGGAGTATAGACAATGGTTTTGAGGAAGTTCTTCGAAACATAATCCAAATAGATTTCTGTTGTTAACTAGTGCTGATGCAAAGTAATGGGGTTGGATTCTGAGAATCACAGGTGAAAGGATGGTTGTGGGAGGGGATTTACCAATTCCCTGCTCCCTACGAAGAAACCTCTGGAGTGTCAGGGGTCCACCCTGAACAACATGGTATGTGACATGGAGGAGAACTTGCCAAAATGATTCAGAGGCATCTTAAGGTTTATTCAGGGCTGGGGAGTCTAGGAAACCCCCCCCCCCAGACTCCGCCTAGGTTTCACCCTGACAAGAGAAGCTCTGCACCCTCAAGTGCTTTTGCCTGGTTGGAACTGTCTTTGAACTATAGTAATGCTGCTTGTTCACCTGAATGGGCAGTGAAGGTGTGTGTGAGAGAGAAAACCTTTAGATTTTACATGACTGGAATGTAGCGTATTATGCAAAGGTAAGAGTCACTTCCATTGTTTTGCCTATTCTGACCCTGCCCATTTTTGCTTCTGGTTTTATCAAATCGCTGGCATGTGGCTATTAGAAAGTTGCCCATGAGAGAAAGTGGCCTTCAGACTGAAAACAGTTCCCCATCCCTGGGTTAACCAGCCTTAAACACCTCAGGTGTCTTGAGACAGGCATTTTAATGTTAATTACCTAGCTCTGAAATAGCTGGGATTAAATGCAAATTTGGTGAAAATTATCTAAAACATGTGAATTCCCCCCCCCTTTTTTTTTATTCTAAGCACTTGCGCTCATTGGATTTTGTCTTGGACATAATCCAGTGAGCTGAAACATGCCTTGTACCACATCAGTACTTAACTACGCATTGCATTATCCCTCCTGCAGATACTACATTGCATTCCTCTTTGTGGTACGACTGGGAAGTCTGATGGTGAAGTCTGAGCCACACATAAGCTGTTGCTGGTTCCTTACTTGTGTATGACTAGCAGAAAGTATGTGGCGCTGCCCAGGAATTTGCAGAAACCAAAAACTGCTGAGATTTTTAAATGGATAATGCAACTTGCTAGTTTCCAGGGCTGTGTCCACGAGCACTCAGCCCCACCCAGGGAGCACCTGCCCCTGCGCAGAATCAGTGCAGGGGGTTGGGCTAATGTTTAACTGGTTTTGTTTAACCCTATACTGTCAGGAAGTGGGGTGGGAAGGAGACATTGTGTCTCCTTTCTCACCCTCCCAGCTGCACTGCAGAGAAAGGAGTGTTCTGCTGGAAACATTCTGGCAAAGCAGACCCCATCAGCCAGCAGGACTGCACCCTTGGCAGCCAGCTCCTGCACTGCTGATGCGCTGGGCCTGCTTATCATCTCCCTCCATAAACAAGAGTGAGAGACTGACTCCAGACACTGGCCCAATATGTGAGCATTTCTTCTCTGCTCGTCTAGCAGATTTTACCAAGTGATTTTTAGTTCGTTTTAATTAAGCACTTCAAGGTAACCAATTGGTGCCTTGGGTGGCTGCCCTTCATGACATTAGAACAGTTAGAAGGACAAACTTTAGTGTCTTGGTGTTGCTTGATTTTAAACTACTACTTGATAGCTGTAAATATTAGAAAATGAGAGTATGTAACATCTCATGGGTATAGCATTTGGTCCCAATGTTTAACCTAGCTTCATAGGAAGAGTGGAGCACTTGCAGTCTCCATCAGTGTCAAGGATACTACAAAAATCTTCAAAACTTGTATACAGTCCTTCAAAATTGAGAAATAGTTTTGTTCTCTATCCTGCATAAAAATTAATAATTTCCCAGACCAAGCAAGAATATTTGTGGAGTATTCAAAACTGAATTACTCAGATTACTAGTAATATTTGCATACAAAGAAAGAAAGAAAGAAAGAAAGAAAGAAAAACTTTGCAGGATTCCTTGTGCTGCTTTTGCAAAAATCCTGGAGTTGGGTCTCTAGTACAGTGGTACCCCGCAAGACGAACGCCTCGCGAGACGAAAAACTCGCAAAACGAAAGGTTTTTTTCGTTTTCGAGTTGCCTCGCAAGACGAATTTCCCTATGGGCTTGCTTCGCAAAACGAAGCTTGCCCCGGGGACAGCGGGTCTTCTCTTTTGAAGCAAGGGGCGGCGGGGAGATCGCTTCTCCCCACCGCCCCTTGCTTCAAAAGAGGTCTGCCCCCGGACCTCTTTTGAAGCAAGGGGCTGCGGGGAGATCGCTTCTCCCGGTGCTCCGAAGCGGGGTGGGGGGGGCGGGAACACCTGCCCCAGCTGCCGGGCTTCGTAGCGCTGCTGCGAAGCCGGGCGGGGGCGGGAACACCTGCCCCAGCCACCCCGCTTCGGAACGCTGCTCCGCAGCGGGGTGGGGGGCGGGAACACCTGCCCCAGCCGCCGGGCTTCGTAGCGCTGCTGCGAAGCCAGGCGGGGGCGGGAACACCTGCCCCAGCCACCCCACTTCGGAACGCTGCTCCGAAGCGGGGGGGGGGCGGGAACACCTGCCCCAGCCGCCGGGCTTCGGAACGCTGCTCCGAAGCGGGGTGGGGGGGGCGGGAACACCTGCCCCAGCCGCCGGGCTTCGTAGCGCTGCTGCGAAGCCGGGCGGGGGGCGGGAACACCTGCCCCAGCCACCCCGCTTCGGAACGCTGCTCTGAAGCGGGGGGGGGGTGGGAACACCTGCCCCAGCCGCCGGGCTTCGTAGCGCTGCTGCGAAGCCAGGCGGGGGGCGGGAACACCTGCCCCAGCCACCCCACTTCGGAACGCTGCTCCGAAGCGGGGGGGGGCAGGAACACCTGCCCCAGCCGCCGGGCTTCGGAACGCTGCTCCGAAGCGGGGTGGGGGGGCGGGAACACCTGCCCCAGCCACCGGGCTTCGTAGCGCTGCTGCGAAGCCAGGCGGGGGGCGGGAACACCTGCCCCAGCCACCCCACTTCGGAACGCTGCTCCGAAGCGGGGGGGGCGGGAACACCTGCCCCAGCCGCCGGGCTTCGGAACGCTGCTCCGAAGCGGGGTGGGGGGGCGGGAACACCTGCCCCAGCTGCCGGGCTTCGTAGCGCTGCTGCGAAGCTGGGCGGGGGGCGGGAACACCTGCCCCAGCCACCCCGCTTCGGAACGCTGCTCCGCAGCGGGGTGGGGGGGCGGGAACACCTGCCCCAGCCGCCGGGCTTCGTAGCGCTGCTGCGAAGCCAGGCG